CCCTCTTATCTGTCAGCCCTGGGTGCACTCAAGGCTGGGACCAGCGGGCCCAACCCCGAGCTAGGTCCTGGGGAAGGTGGGCCTCTGGCTACAACTTGGTCTCCGTTCCCCTCCAGCCCATGCCCCTCCCATATTTACCATTGTTCTCCCCCTCCCCAAAGGACCACTGTCCCAGGGATTTCTGCTTTGGTTTCCTGTGATCCTCCTATGGTGCCCTAGCTGGTAGACAGGCTCTGGGCCTGGCTCCCAGGGCAGGGTGTGGGCAGGCAGGTTGCCGGGGCCCTCACACAGTTCCTTGTTCCCATTGGTGGCCAGTTCCCCTGGGTCCTGCAGGACTATGTGTCCCCAACCCTGGATCTCAGCAACCCAGCTGTCTTTCGAGACCTGTCCAAGCCCATCGGTGTGGTGAACCCCAAGCATGCCCAACTTGTGAAGGAGAAGTGAGCACATGGGCAGGGCTGGGCTCCATGGTCGGGGTGGAGGAGCAGGGCATACGGGGATGGGGCCACTGCTACTGCCGACCACCATTCACTGTGGGGCCCAGGTACGAGAGCTTCGAGGACCCTGCGGGCACCATTGGCAAGTTCCACTATGGCACGCACTACTCCAATGCCGCGGGCGTGATGCACTACCTCATCCGCGTGGAGCCCTTCACCTCCTTGCACGTGCAGCTGCAGAGTGGCCGGTACAGCCCTGGGGGAGGTGGGACGAGGTGGTGCTGGGTGGATGACCAGACCATGTCACTGGCTGTCATGTCAGCTCACTTCAGCCAACCACATATCCCTTTGCAGCTTCGACTGCTCTGACCGGCAGTTCCACTCAGTGGCAGCAGCCTGGCAGGCGCGCCTGGAGAGTCCCGCCGACGTGAAGGAGCTCATCCCAGAGTTTTTCTACTTCCCCGACTTCCTGGAGAACCAGAACGGTAGAAAATGGGCTGCGTGAACAGAGAGAGCCCTGGGCCATGGGGGAGGGTGTGAGGGTTGTTTGTATGTGTGTGTGTGTGTGTTGACCCATTCCCCATGCCAGGCTTTGACCTGGGCTGCCTGCAGCTGACCAACGAGAAGGTGGGTGATGTGGTGCTGCCTCCGTGGGCCAGCTCTCCCGAGGACTTTATCCAGCAGCACCGCAGGGCTCTGGTGAGGAGGGCACTGCAGCCAGGGTTGGGGGCTATGGTGGCATGGCTGGGGTGGCATGGAATGGGCTAGCAGCCCCTCCCATACCACCCTGTACCCTCAGGAGTCAGAATACGTGTCTGCCCACCTCCACGAGTGGATCGACCTCATTTTCGGCTACAAGCAGCGGGGGCCGGCAGCCGAGGAAGCCCTCAATGTCTTCTATTACTGTACCTACGAGGGTGGGTGGCGCGCTGCACCCCAGAGGGGTGAAAAGGGCACAGATGGACAAAGGGGCAGGTGCACAGCGTGCGGTGGAAGTACTGACTGCTCTGCCTCCTGTCCAGGGGCTGTGGACCTGGACCATGTGGCAGATGAGCGAGAACGGAAGGCTCTAGAGGGCATTATCAGCAACTTCGGGCAGACTCCCTGTCAGCTCCTGAAGGTAAGGCCAGCTTTGGAGGGTGGTGGTCCGCAACACCCAGGCCATGGTGCTGACCGACCACTTCTCTCCAGGAGCCACACCCAGTGCGCCTGTCTGCTGAGGAAGTAGCCAATCGCCTTGCACGACTGGACACTAACTCACCCAGCATTTTCCAGCATCTGGATCAGCTCAAAGCCTTCTTTGCAGGGGTGAGAGGAAGGGTCATCTGGGCATCCTCTGCTGCTTTCCCAGGCATATTAACACGGAGCTGGATCAGAAGTGGAGCAGCCGGGACTCAAACTGGCACTCACACATGGTGCCTGCATTGCAGGCAATGGCTCAACTTGCTGTGCCACAATGTCAACCTTAAGCTGACTTTGAGGCTGCCCTCCCCTGTTGCCTCTGGACTAGGGGCTCATGCATTCATGGGGTGGAGGACCAAAATTGAAACCAAGCTTGATACTCTGAAAGGATCCCACCCACTCTTGGAGATGTCCTGAAGGTGTGCCTATCTCCCATGCCTACAGTTCCAGCACCTAGGCTGTGAGCCCTGGGTCGGGGGGGAAAGGAGCAGCTCCTGTGGTAGGACCCCTAGCAAGTTTTCAGGCACAGCCAATCCTGTGTTTCACTCCACAGGTGGTCAGTGAGGGTGTACCCTTGGTGCTAGCCCTGGTCCCCCACCGGCAGCCTCACTCCTTCATCACCCAGAGCTCCCCAGACCTGCTGGTAAGTACCCTGGGCAGGGCTCCACTTGGGCTCTGACTCTGACTTGCCCCTTACCCACCTCTGTTCCTTCCCACCTGCCCACAGGTGACTGTGAGTGCCAGTGGGCTGCTGGGCACCCATAGCTGGCTGCCCTATGATCACAACATTAGCAACTACTTCAGCTTTAGCAAAGACCCCAAGTAAGACAGGAGGCTGTGGGTGGGAGTGGGCTGGTAAAGGTTCAGCACAGCTGAGTCCTCTCCTAACCCATCAGAGCTAAGCGAGATGCAGGGTGAAAATCCAGCCATGATCTCTGATGCGGGTCTGTCTCGTCTCCCGCCCCCTGGGGTCAGGATGCAGCGAGTGCTGAGTGGCCCATGGGTGCCAGGCAGTGGTGTGACTGGGCAAGCACTGGCAGTAGCCCCCGATGGAAAGCTGCTGTTCAGCGGTGGTCACTGGGACGGCAGCTTGCGAGTGACTGAGCTACCCCGAGGCAAGCTGTTAAGCCAGCTCAATCGGCACCTGGGTATGAGCAGCATTGGAGTCGGGGGAGTGGGGTAGAGGGGGTGGGCTGGGGTTCTGAAGCTGACCGGGAGGGGAGGGCCGTTCTGTCACACTTGTACTCTCCCCTCTCCATGTAGACATAGTGACCTGCCTTGCACTGGACACCTGTGGCATCTACCTCATCTCAGGCTCCCGGGATACCACGTGCATGGTGTGGCGGCTCCTGCAGCAGGTGTGTTGGGGGGCAGCCCTGTGGGGTTCCCCAGAGTCTGTCCTTGCAACCCATCAGCCTCTCAGGGATTCTCCAGTCTCCCTTCCCCGCGGCAGTCTGAGGCCCCTTGGCCATCCAGTTCCTTGACCCCGGACCAGGCCTTCCCTTTGCCGAGCCTCGGCTGTGTCCTGCAGGGGCCAGTCCTTAAGTCAGCGCTGGTTTCCCCTCAGGGTGGTCTGTCAGTAGGGCTGGCCCCAAAGCCGGAGCAGGTCTTGTACGGCCATGAGGCTGCGGTAAGCTGTGTGGCTCTCAGCACTGAGCTGGACCTGGCTGTGTCGGGATCCGAGGTACGTGCTGGCATGTGCTCGTGGGGCGGGGGTCCAGACTGCTGGTGCTGCCCCTGCCCTGCACCCTAAGCTGCCTGTCTGCAGGACGGGACGGTGATCATCCACACCGTACGCCAAGGCCAGTTTGTGGCAGCACTACGGCCCCCAGGGGCTGCCTTGCCAGGGCCTGTGTCCCACCTGGCTGTTGGATCTGAAGGCCAGATTGTGGTACTGAGCTCAGCGCGGGAACGTCCTGGCGCCCAGGTATGGGGAGGTAGCGGGGAAGAGGCAGGGGCTTGGGGACGGTTGGGATTCTGTCCTTGCTGACATACCCTACTCCCTCCAGGTCACCTACTCCTTGCATTCATACTCTGTGAATGGGAGGTTGCGGGCATCCCAACCCCTGGTGGAGCAGCCCACAGCCCTGGCGGTGGCTGAAGACTTTGTGTTGCTGGGCACGGCCCAGTGTGCCCTGCACATCCTCCACCTGAACAAGTGAGCCTCTCCAGGTGGTGGGGTGGTGGAAGGGTGGTCAGCACGTCTCGCCATGGATGTGTTCTCCCAGGGGAGACCTTGTCAGGGGTCTGCCTGAGCCCGCCCGCTGCTGGGAGATCCCTTCCTTTATCAGGGTTTTCCTTTAGCCCTCCTTCAAGTGAGGCCTGAGACCTCCCAGACTGGACAATAAAGACAGCCACGTGCTGGCGGCAAAGCCATCTGCAGTTACACCCTCTGCACTTTGCCCCTCTAGGCTGCAGCCGGCTGCGCCCCCCCTGCCCATGAATGTGCCCATCCGGAGTGTGGCGGTGACCAAGGAGCGCAGCCACGTGCTTGTGGGTCTGGAGGATGGCAAGCTGATCGTGGTGGGCTCGGGGAAACCCTTGGAGGTGAGTGTAGGGGCGGGAGACCCGCAGGAAGGGGCCAGAGTGGCGGCGCCAACTAACTCCGCGCCCGCTCCGGCTTGCACCAGGTGCGCAGCAACCAGTTCGCTCGGAAGCTCTGGCGGTCGTCGTCACGGCGCATCACGCAGGTGTCCTCGGGGGAGACCGAGTACAGGCCTGCAGAGGGACGCTGAGAGCCTGCTGCAGGGACGCCCCGCCCCCAGCGGGCCACGCCCCCGGCGGCCCACGCCCCCAGCTGGCCACGCCCCCCGCCGGCGGCAGGAACTGGGCGGGGTCGGCCGCGTCAGGCGGATGGGCGGAGCCTCACTCCCGCCCGCCCAGCTCAGGGATTGGCGGGCGGCTTCACTCCAGGAAGTCCCGCCCCTCGCCGGCTGAGGGGCCGCCCCGAGTCCCCGCCCGCCTGCGGCTGCTCGTTTTGCACACACTGGGGGCGAGGGGGGTCCCCGGTTTCCAAGCCCCCAGCCCCTGGCCGAGCCGGGGACCACCCGTGGCCTTACTCCCTGAAGGTGGCCCCCGCTCTCCGTTTCCGGCAATAAACCCGGCCTCGTTTTGTAGCTGCCGCGTCTCCGTGTGCGTGTTCGCCCCGCCCGCGGTGCCCGCCCGGCGCCGCCGCCTCTTTGTCCCCGACCCCGCGGCTCCCACCTCCGGGCGGACCCGAACCCGGCCTCCCCGGGGCCTGCGGGCCTGCTCAGCGGGTCGTGCCCGCCTGCCGGGCCAGGTCCGGAGCACCCCTGGGGGGCAGTGACCCCTGTGCACGCGCCACCTCGGGCAGGCGCCGCAGCCCCGGCTGCTGACGCGGGCACACAGCGGGCACAGGGCTGGCCGCCTTCTGGGCACCCGGTGAAGTGGGCGAGTTGCGGGGAGGGTCCCTCACCCCGCGCCTCTGCCCCAGGTCCAGGAAGGGCCTGAGCGGGCCCTGGCCTTGGGGAGAGAAGGGTCCCAGCAGGCGGTGTCTGGGCCCTCGCTGGCTGCGCCCACCAGGGTTCCCACCCACTCAGGTTCCAAGAGTTGCTGGAGGGCCTCCTCCCTGGGGTGGGGCCTTGGGGGACAGGCTTCCCGGCTGCTGAGAGGGGTAGGGCGAGCGCCCCTCTCTCCCGCCTGACTCCGTGTCTGCCTGTTCCTTTCCTCCCTCCCGCCCATCCCTGATCTGTGGGGAGCATCGCCCGAGCGCTGGCCTGCTCTGTCACCTTCCTTCTGACACAGAAGTGGCAGGTCCAGCCCTGGAGGGGCTGGAATGGAGTGAGCCAAGATTACTCAAGGCTGCTCCGGGGACTCAGCCTGAGGGTTCCCCCTCCAGCCTCCTGGGCCCTCCTGCCTGGCTGCTGCCGGAAACCCCCCTGGGGAGCACGAGGGCAGCATCGCCACCCCAGCAAGGACATGGCTTTTGTGGGTAAGTGTCTTTTGATCCACAGCTTGGGCAGTGTGCCAGCGAGGAGGTACCCCAGCCGGGAGGGTCACTCCCAAGTCCAGTCACGGTGCTGGAGTCCCTCCCCTTCTGCTGCAGGGTCTGCTCGGTGGATGTTTTCAAACCCTCTTGGCAGTGAGGTGTGAGCGTGTCAAGGACCTTCCCTTAGTTCCTCAGCCCTGACTCTCTCTCCTCCTTCCACAGATGCGGCCCCGAGAGGGCAGGACAGGGGCAGAGAAGGGGTGTGGGCAGCCCTGGCCCTTAATGCCTCCTCATTCCCGGCTGAGCCTCCGGACACCGCAGGGAACATCATCCCGGTCTACTGCGCCTTGCTGGCCACTCTGGTCCTTGGTCTGCTTGCCTACGTGGCCTTCAAGTGGTAGGTGGCTTGGGCACCCCCTTCCCCTCACCCCGATGTGGACTGCCAGCCTGCTCTCCGTGTTGGTGACGGGGAAGCAGGTTGGCAGGTCCCCTCTGCTGTTTCCCATAGCTGGCGCTCACATAAGCAAAGACAGCAGTTGGCCAAAGCTCGCACTGCAGAACTGGGGGGCCTGGGGGGCCTGGATGTGGACCAGGCCCGCGGACGCAGTGTCTTCCTGGACTCTCCCAGCGATAGCAGCCATGGTGAGCCCATCTCCATTCTGGTCTCTGGTTCTGGTGCTGCTGCTGTGCCGCCACCCATCCCTTGGTGACCTCCCTGTGTGACTCCCCACCCTAGGGCCACGCCCAGAGCTCGGCTGTCGACTTTACCTTCATCTCCCTCGGCGGCAGCAGGAGGAAGTAGAGCGGCTCCTGGAAGCTCCCAGCGAACCCGAACCTGGCAAGGGCTGGCGGGGGCTGGCGGGCCGTCTGGGCTACCAGGCTGAGGCTGTGGAGACCATGGCTCAGGGCCAGGCGCCAGCCCACACCCTGCTGAGGGACTGGGCCACCCAGGAGGGCAGCAGAGCCACCCTCAAGGTGCTGGAGGAGGCCCTGGCTGCCATGGGTCGGGAAGATGTGCTGCAGGCCCTGAGCCCGGCAGCTCAAGACTGCCCAGTGGTGTGAGTGACGCCGACTGGCCGCGATCCTCCCCCGACACCTTCCCCTTCAGGGTTTCTCCACATTCCCGGCCTCAACCTCTTGGTTCTGGAGGCAACTGCCGTGCCTGCTGCCACTCCCCCACGCAGGATGGGTGTGCGGAGGGGGGAGAGGCATGGTCCTGCCCTCCCAGCCGCTCCTCCTCCGCACCCCTTCATTTAGCTGCAGTTATTTTCTCTACTTTTGTATCCCACATTAAAGGCACTTTGGGCTAGTTCGAGCTGGCTGCCTCGCTTCTTGGATCTGTGATGGTTGGGTAACTGAGGCAGGGGTTCCCCAGGGCCCAGCATCCTTCCGCAGAGGTTCACTCATCCCAGCCTATGCACTGCTTCCCTTTTCAAGGACTCTTTGTCATCCCTTGCTGGTCCAGGCTCAGGGTTAGAGCATCATCCCAGTGGACTCAGAGAAGAAAAAAAAAAATAAATACAGGAGAAAGGGGAAAAGAAAGAAAATGAATCAGTGGGCCCAGACACATCAAGTATGTGGAAGGAAGAGGTAGGATGCCTCTCCAGCCAGGAGGTATCGGGGGAAGAGAGATTTGAAAGACAGAAGAGACAGAATTCTGATTGTTGGTTCACTCCCCAAATGAAAAAAAGCTGGAACTTGGCCTGGCCAAAGCCAGGAGCCAAGAGTTTCTTCTGGGTATTCTATGCGGGTGTGGGGATCCAAGCAACTTAGGCCTTCTGCTGCTGCTTCCCCAGGCACATCAGTAAGGAGCTGGATCGGAAGTGGAACAGTAAGTATTTAAGCCAGCACTCTTATGAGAAGCTGGCACAGAGGCTTAACCCACTACTGGACACCAATGTCACTGTAAACAAGGGATATCACTGCAGGTGGTGACTAAACTCACATACTACGGCGCTTCACCCACACTCTCCTCCTCGACCTTATTAAAGATTTTTGAAACATTTATTTGAAAGGAAAAGTGACACAGAAGAGAGATTTTTTTTAAAGATTTATTTTTATTATTTTTTTTATTGGAAAGGCGGATATACAGAGAGGAAGATCTTCCATCCAATGATTCACTCCCCAAGTGAGCGCAACGGCCGATTCTATGCTGATCCAGAGCCAGGAGCCTCTTCCGGGTCTCCCACGCGGGTGCAGGTTCCCAAAGCTTTGGGCCGTCCTCGACTGCTTTCCCAGGCCACAGGCAGGGAGCTGGAAGGGAAGAGGAGCTGCCGGGATTAGAACCGGCGCCCATATGGGATCCCAGGCGTGCAAGGTGAGGATCTTAACCACTGCGCCACCACGCCGGGCCCAGAAGAGAGATTTTTTTCATCCACTGATTCATTCCCTTAATGGCCACAGGCATTGTCCAGGCCGAGCAGCTGGGCCTGAAACAAGCACTTACATGGTGCAATTTAGCCCACAGATCCATAGTACTGGCCCCTCATTCACCTGTTTCTTCAATCTCTCTTTTTTAAATAGTTATTTTTATTGCAAAGTCAGATATACAGAGAGGAGGACAGACAGAGAGGAAGACCTTCCATCCGATGATTCACTCCCCAGTGACTGCAACAGCTGGAGCTGTGTCGATCCAGAGCCAGGAGCCAGGAGCCTCTTCCGGGTCTCCCACATGGGTACAGAGCCCCAAGGCTTTGGGCTGTCCTCGACTGCTTTCCCAGGCCACAAGCAGGGAGCTGGATGGGAACTGGAGCTGCCAGGATTAGAACCGGCGCCCATATGGGATCCCAGTGCATACAAGGCGAGGACTTTAGCCACTTGGCCATCGTGCCAGGCCCTCACCCGTTTCTTGATAGCCTATTCAAGTCAGTGTCTGAGGCTTCGGGCTGTGCTTCCTTTGCTCTGCACCTGACATCCCCCTGAGCACAAGCTACAAGATCACAAGCCTACAGGCACCAGCTGCCAGCTGATATCTGCCTCAGCCACAGCTGGACCCGGTGTGGAACAACGCCTGTGACAAAGCCCAGTGGCAGCAACCATCACCTGCTTTTTCCAGGGACGGCACTGCACACAACCATGCCTGAGTAACTGAGGGAACACCAATGCCAAGTTCTTTAATTGATTTTATTTTTTTACATAAAAAGTTCAGTAAAAATTGGATAAAGTAAAGTGATTTTAAGCAGTAAATCAATCTTATCAACATAGCACAAGGCTGACCAAAACCACAAGGCAGCCTGCTTTAGAATATTTACATGATAACAAATTAAACCTTGCAGGAGAACGTAAACTGTCCTTACAAAGTCTGCCTGTGATCCTAGCACGCAGAGGCTAAAAAGCAAAACAAAACCAGGAAAAAACAAATTATTTTCAATATATTCACATATACATTAAAATATAATACAGATCATGGGGTAGAGGGTCTTGGGTGGGGATGCGCATGGGTCTGTGCGCCGACAGCACCGCCAAGGAGGAGACCCAGGTTTGAGAGTGGGGTCAGGGCTGGCCAGGGTTTCCCTAGACCGCTGCTTCTGGTGGCCTCGAACCACAACCCAACGGCTTACGGAGGGATCACCTGTTGTAGATGGAGCTCGTGTGGGGCTTCCAACTGATACCTGCACGTCTGAGTCCCCCAGGGTGGCAGTGCCATCAGGAGTGCCGCCGCCCTGACAGCATGGGGCTGAGGCCCACGGGAGCTCTTCTCCCAGTCTGTCCTACCTGATTCATCTGTCTGTCCACCCTGGCCCTACAAGTCACTCTAATTCAGTGTCCTCTTTGGGTTTGTAGACAGCCCCAAACTTCTGCATGTACTTCTTAATGTACTCCTTGGTTTTGTGTTTCACATTCTCATTGCACTCCAGGTCCTCGGGGTTCTTACAGTACTTCAGCTCCTTATTCATGACGCCGTGAGTCAGCTGTCCAGGGCACAAGAACAAAGGCACAGACATCAGTTGGAGTGGCAATGATCTGGGGGTAGGGGAGGAAGAGTAGCAGAGGTAGTGACCCAACTTGCCCTCTCTGGGTTCTTTCATCGACAGTGGAGTTCAACACTTGGTAAGTTGGGGCAGGCTGGTACTGAAAGAAGTACCTAGGCTCTCTAATTCTCTTAGAAAATGTGCACCTTGCCCTGCTCAAGGTTACCCCCCACCCCACCCAAATCACAGTCCCTCCGTTCCTGGGTCCTCCTTGGTCCTAGCATCTTGGGAAATTAGCTGTGCTACAACACTGACAGACCAGAGAAGGGCGAGTACCTTGCGAGCAAGGTGTTTGAAGTCCTCAGTTGTAGTAATTCTTCCCACTTTGCAGTCAGGTTTCCGGTAAGGGTTCAGGCACTGGACGATGAACTGGGACATCTGCAAGCAGAGTGAAGAGAACGTAGCACTCAAAGGGACAAAAAAGACAGGGTGTACTGAGGTAAGGCAGCCAGGCCCGCCAGCCAATCCTTGACCTTTGCCCCTAGGATGGCTTGTTGGACTATGAAACAGCAGAGAGCTCATGAGACACAGGACTGCTGGTCAGCCCTGAGCGGAACAGGCCTGTGGACGGACAAGCTAGCCTCACTTGCAGCAGCAGCTGGAGGCTCCAGCAGCCTCAGGTTTCAGCCAGACTGCTGTGAGCTCAGCCTGAAAAGACTAGCTAGGTTCTAATTCTCTGGTCCCTAGAGAAAGAGGACAGGGCAGGCATTCCAAGAGCTACTAAGCAGCTAAGCAACTCCAGGGACTGCAGGCATCTCATATCTGAAGGTCACTTAAAGACTGTCCAGGGTGCACATCACTGCATTCTTAGCACAGCTGGGGAGAGCAGACACACATGGTCGAACAGCCAGGGTGCAGAGGGAACAAAGGTATCAGTGACTGCCACACTTTCAGGGGGAACATGAACAAAGACTGCGGATTCCTGGAACTCAGCCCACCTACAGGCATGCAAAGGAAAGGCCACGTCATAAGATAGGCACCATTAGACCAACAGCCACTGGGGGATGGAGAAAAACGGAACATAATTTCTGGAGAAGTCTTTAGCTTCCTATAGCCTACAGGCCCAAATGAAGCAACTGAGTAAATGCCATCCAATTTCATTCCATCGTGCCCTGTACGGTGACTTCTGGAAGGGACAATGCTCCCTTGTCTCTGTACTTCCTACTACCAAAAATTACACCCCTCCTGATCTAACTGGAAAATGGTGACTTGACGCTCGGCCCTTCCTAGCACCTCAGATGGGGGCCTCCAGCCCAAGGTGGCCCTTCTTCACATGGCCATTGTTACTTATTTACAGGTTTGTCTCCTTGCCTACATTCTTGGCCCCTCAGTATATAAATCTGCATGTCAGGAGGCAGCTCAGAAGCTCAGTGTCCTCAGGGCTGGAGGCATGCTGCTGGCAGTGAGAGGAGCTGCTTTCTCTCAAGCCCTTACAGGTTAGGCAGTCACTGACAGACCCAGTACAGACAGAGAATGGGAACGTGAACTGTAAGGCCAGAGTCTAGAACTGGCCTTCTCTGAACATTTGACCAATTTATGAGGAATGACAATGCCTACTTCAAGAACTTTTGTGGGGATGAAATCAGATGATGTACATAAATGTGCCTATCCAGTTGTAAAGAAACACACCAACATCTCATGACTACCAACTATATGGTCAAATCACAGACACCAAGCAGGGCAGATCAACACCTCATGAGACTTCCCTTTGCTGCAGCAAAATCTGCACTGGACTGGGAAAGCGTGGTCTGCAGAGCAGCCCTTAAAGCCGACAAGAGACAGCTGAGAAGTTCTCAATGGGAGAAGCAGTACGACAGCACGAGCCACAACCTAAGGAAACCTTGTGTTCTGGCATGTCCTGGTCAAGGGAAGAATTCTATGCAGGACAAGAAAAAAAAAAAAAGGTCTCAGACTGAAGCCTATATTAGCGCCCACACCCACCAAGCCTTACCTCTTTTCTAAACACTTCTTTGCTTTTCTTAGCCAGCTCACTGGAAGTGTCTGCTTCCGCTGTCTTGGGCTTCTTTGATGTCTAGAATTAAAAAATACAACAGAGCTAGCACAAGAAGTCAGGTGTAAGTAATATCTTACTGTACTAGAACCTTCCTTTCTCCCAGCTCAAATACTTCCTCCTCTTGCTTTTTTAAAAAAGATTTGTTTGCTTTTATTGGAAAGGCAGAGTTACAGAGAAGGAAGGAGGGAAAGAGATCTTCCATC